GGGGACAGATGGGGGGTGGGTGGCAGCCCAGACCTGCCGGGCTAAAAATACCCCACCCGCCCGCGGATCTCCCGGCCCGGCGGCGTCACCCGCTCCCGGGAATATTTTTACTTCCCTGGCAGCTCGTGCCGGGTGGAAGGGCCGGGGGGGCTGGGAAGGGGCTGGCGGGGGGCTCTGGGCGGTGGGTGCCCCCCGTGTCCCTCCCGTGCCGGAGGAGGTTCCCGGAGACCTGGCGGGGGGCAGGGGATGGGAGCAGGAACGTGCGGGATGATCCCGGCGGGATGGGGGCTGCAGGAGGCACCGCGGGGACCCCCGCGGGGCAGACCCAGGGAAGCGTTTTCCCCCCGGCCCGTCCCAGCCCCCCCACGCATCCTGCTGCGGGCAGCGGGATTTCCTGGGAATGGCGAGCGGGAGCCGGCTCCGCTTCCCTAACGCCCTCCACCTCTCCATCCTCCCGTCATCCCTCCTGGAAAAGGCCGGGATGTGGAACATCCACGGCAGTCCCCGGGCGCCTCCAGCGCCTCCGGCATGGCCAGGAGCGGATCCAGCAGGAGCCGAGCTGCCTCCTCCCTCCCGCTCCAGCCGCTGCCGGAGGGGCCACGGAGACCCCCGGGGCAGGATCGACCTTGGAGCGGGATAACCCTGCAAGCGCCGGGCTGGGAGGCGTCGCGGGGAGCGCGATGGATGCAGGGGAAGGAGAGGTTCCTGAATTTGGGATCGTTACACCGGGAACGGTCCCGCTGCCCCCTGCCCGCGCCAGCCCAGCCCACTGCAGAGCCGCGCCCGCCGCGCATTCCGAGCGCGATCCGGCCGGGAAAACTGCGCTCCCCGGCAGCCTCCGAGCGGCCAAATCCTCCCCGGCAGCCAAATCCTGCCCAGCTCCACACGTGGAAGCGGCGGGTGACGCAGCCGTCCCCGTGACGCTCCAGAGCTGGCAAAGCCGCCCCGGCTCCCGCACGTTCCCGGGAACAGCATCCCGGATCCCGGCTCAGGCACGGCGCAGCTCCCCGAGGGACGAGTCCCCACTGTCCCCGGCCCCGGCTGCACCAAGAACTGGGATCTTCCCAAAATCCCCCCGGGCATCGCTGCTGTGCCGAGCTCTCCCAGAGCTCCCAAGCTCCCGTGAGACGCAGGAAAAATTGCCCGACATTCCAAAAATCCTCCAGTCTGCCAAAGCCTTCCCTCTCCCCGGGACTGGGATGGTGTTCCCAGGGAGAAGGTTTTCCCCGGTCAAACCCATCCCTGTTTTATCCCAGCTTTGGTCCCCAGCAGTGCTGGCACCGGGATTGCTGCTGCTGTAACCCCAAAAGGAGAATCCCTGGAAGCATCTGAGGGGACCAGACAGGTGAATGCCCTGGAAAACCACCGGGAAACCACTCAGGCCTCTGGAGATGGGCAGCATTCCCAGCTGGAATCAGCCTTCCTGAGAGGGGTGGGACAGGATGGGACACAGGGATAGGACACGGGGATGGGACAGGATGGGACACGGTCCAACAGGCTGAGCTGGCATGGGCTCAGATGTGTCCACAAGGAGCCTCCCAAGGCACAGGGACATGATCCGTAAGGATGAGTCCCAGAGTGATGGGGATGCACGGAGCTCCCAAGGCAGGCCAGGAACCGGGGCAGGCTGAGCTCCCTGAATTCCAGAACTCCTTGGAATCCCACAGCTCCTCGGAACAGCCAGACACCCAGGGCAGGCTGAGCTCCCTAAATCCCAGAACACCCTGGAATCTCAGGGATCCCCAGGGTCACTCTCCAAAGGCACCCACTGCCAGAGCCAATTCCAATCCCTGATCCAACACAGGGAACAGCAACGGCGGATGGCAGAAACCTGGCACCAGTAACCCCAGAATGGCTCAAACTGGGACCACACTGAGGTGCCAGAATGCCATTCCAGACCCGATGCTCCCATCAACAACAAATCCCAACAACACTCCCACACTCTTTTCCAACTCCGGGAAGCACCAGATTTCCCATTAAAAAAATCTCCCAAGCTGCTCTTTTCCCCTTTCCCTATTTTTTCGGACTGCCCGGGCAGGCTCCGAGCTGGAAGATCCAATTAGGCACCGAAGCAGCCCCGACGAGCAGCGACGGCCGCGCCATGAAGGGAATTGATTTTATTTGACCGTTTTATGAGCACTGGAAAATTGCATCCGGAGCGTTCGCTCCGCTGGTTAACACATTCCTCATTCCCCAAATTGCCCTGAACCAGCCTCAGAAAATAGCCAGGGAAACAAAGGGAGAAGAGAGGCAGAATTCCTGGGAAATGGGGAGTGCAACGCCTCGCCTGGAGGGGCACTCCAGGCTTGGGGGCATCCTGGAATTTCCCAAGGAGCCACAAGCACCAGCATCAGACTGATCCCCTCCTTCATTCCCTCATCCTCATTGTCCCATCCCCTCTCCCCTCAGCCTCATCCCAGCCTCGTCCCTCCCTCCGTACCTTCTTCCCGATGAGCTTCTTGCGCAGGAATTCCCGGGCCTCGAACATGTAGGGAATGTCATAGAGGGGCCTCAGCTTCCTGTTCTTGTCCTGCTGAGAGAGAGGACTCAGGTCAGGGGATTCCCAAATCTGCCCCATCGCCCCCCACCCTCTCCCAGGGCCCCCCCAATTCCACATCCCAGCTCAGGCTCCGCTGAACCCCGAGGGGACCCTGGGATAATCCTGACATCTCCAGGAGGAGGTGCTGGCAGCCTCGTGGTGCCAGGTCGGACATCCCTGAGTGACAGCTCCAGGAGGGAACGGGATGACGGGAATTTGGGGTGGGGGTGACCAGGGAGACCCCCCGGGGCGTCCAGCCCCTGTCCAAGGGCATCCCCTGGAGTCACATCCCTGCAAAGGCTGCGCAAAAAGGGAGATTCCCAAAGGAAACGGGGATTCCACCCAACACAGTCCAACACAACCCAACATGACCCAATGTCACTCAACATGACCCAAAGTGACCCAGTGTGACCCAACACAAGGCAGCATAACTCAGTGTGACCAAAGGAAGTGACCCAAAGTGAGCCAACACAACCCAAAGTGAGCCAATGTGACCCAAAGTGAGCCAACGTGACCCAACACAACCCAAAGTGACCCAACACAACCCAAAGTGAGCCAACGTGACCCAACGTGACCCAACACAACCCAAAGTGAGCCAACATGACCCAACACAACCCAAAGTGAGCCAACGTGACCCAACGTGACCCAACACAACCCAAAGTGAGCCAATGTGACCCAAAGTGACCCAACACAACCCAAAGTGAGCCAATGTGACCCAAAGTGAGCCAACGTGACCCAACACAACCCAAAGTGAGCCAACACGACCCAAAGTGAGCCAACGTGACCCAAAGTGAACCAACGTGACCCAAAGTGAGCCAACACAACCCAAAGTGAGCCAACGTGACCCAACACAACACAAAGTGAGCCAACGTGACCCAAAGTGACCCAACACAACCCAAAGTGAGCCAGCGTGACCCAACGTGACCCAACCCAATCCAACCCAACCCAGGCTCTGCTCTGCTCACGGCCCCTCACACCTCCCTGAGCTGGGGAGGAAATCATGGAAAAGAGGGAGATCAGGCCAAAGCAGCTGGAAATTGAGAAGCAGAGTCAGACAGAGAGGGAGAGGGCGGACATGGGTGGCGGCACTTGGCTCCTCCCTAATGAACGAGGCTTTGGCAGAGTTTATTGTCCTTGACACTGCTCATTCCCAGACTGCTCCTTGGAGACGCTCCCTCCTCCACCCACACCGCGCGGCCCTGCCGGCACCGGGGATGGGAACGGGATGGATCCAGAGAGGGGATCCCCGGGAACCCACAGCCAGTGCTGGGGATGGGAACGGGATGGAGCCTGCAATGGGATCCCTGGGAACCCACAGCCAGTGCCGGGGATGGGAACGGGATGGATCCAGCAAGGGGATCCCCGGGAACCCACAGCCAGTGCCGGGGATGGGAACGGGATGGATCCAGAGAGGGGATCCCTGGGAACCCACAGCCAGTGCTGGGGATGGGAACGGGATGGATCCAGAGAGGGGATCCCCAGGAACCCACAGCCAGTGCTGGGGATGGGAACAGGATGGATCCCACAAGGGGATCCCCAGAGCCTGCAATGGGATCCCTGGGAACCCACAGCCAGTGCCGGGGATGGGAACGGGATGGATCCCACAAGGGGATCCCCAGGAACCCACAGCCAGTGCCAGGGATGGGAACAGGATGGAGCCTGCGAGGGGATCCCTGGGAACTCTGGCACCTCCTGCCCCTGCAGTGGAACCCAAAGCAGATCCCAAAGCAGATCCCAGGTGCTGCTCCAGCCCCTGGAGCTGCAGAAGCTCAGAACAAGCACAGAGGAGCTACCGTGGCACCACCAGCCTCTCTCTCTGCCCCTTCCCAGGGGAGCACATTCCCCCTTCCAAACTTCCAGCCCCTGACCATGGGCTCCTGAAGCATTCCCAATCCCCAAATCCTCGGGGTGACCCTGGACCCTTCCTTCAGTGGGACCTGACAGATCCAGGCCCTGAGACGCTCCCGCCCTCGCCAAGGTCACGGCGGAGCTCCGACACCGAGCGCGGCTCCGCGCAGCAAAGCCCTGTGCAAACACTAATTAATCCTCACTAACGAACTCCAAATTTATGGCTTAGTTAAGTGTCTGTCTGGCACAGGCTGTTAAATCCCTAATCCCATCCCGCCGGAGCGGGAAGCGGGACGGCAAAGCCCTGGGTGGCCCCGGCAGCTCCCGGCAGTGCCGGGGGCTCAGGCGCAGGCAGGGAATTCCTGGTGGAGCCATGGGGGTGGGATCTGAGCCCTCCCCAAAGCTCCTTCGGGTCTGCAGCCACTGGGACCACCCAAAAAAGGGACCACCCCAAAGAGGGACCATCCCAAAAAGGGACAACCAGCACACGCCTCCCCAGCAGCAGAGCCATTCCTAAGCCATACTGGGATCCACGGTGCCATCCTGCCAGTCCTGGATCTGCCATGGAGGGGGGATCTGAGCACCCCCCAAAGCTCCTTCAGAGCAGCTCACAGGTCTGCAGCTGTGTGGGACCACCCCAAAAAAGGGGTCACCCCAAAAAGGGACCATCCCGAAAAGGAGTCACCCCAAGAAGGTGACACCCCAAGCAGGGGTCGCCCCAAGAAGGAGTAATCTAAAAAGGGACCATCCCAAAAAGGGACCATCCCAAAAAGAAGTCACCCCAAGCAGGGGTCACCCCAAGCAGGGGTCACCCCAAGAAGGGGGTCACCAGCACGGGCCCCCCGCTGCTGTGCCAGGACCCACGGCTGCACCACTCCAGCCCCGGATGCGCTGGCGCTGAGCGAACCCTCCCATCCTGCTGCTGCTGCTGCTGCAGAATGCCAATTCCCTTTGGGAATCCTCCCCTCACGGCCTGGCGGTGCCAGGAGCTGGATAATGGGAAGGTTTCGGTGCCCAGCCCTGCCAGCCCCCGTCAGATCCGGCTCTGTTGTCCCACAGCAGTGACACTCCCGGCGCAGGGAACGCGGCAGCTGACGGCTCTGGGAAGCCGTTCAAGACCTCGGACGCTCAGCGGAGGATTTGCAAATAAACACGAAAAAATCAATGGAACAGCGGGAAGTTAACGGAATTCCACAGCCGGCAAACTCCGGCAATTTCCGACAGGCAGATGGATTTTGTTTGGTTTAACCCATTTTCTGGGGCAGGAGTTGGATCCCAACAATGAATCACCTCGCGAGTTGTGGCTGCCCCATCCCTGGAATGTTCACATCCAGGCTGGACAGGGCTTGGAACAGCCTGGGATAGCGGAAGTGGCAGTGGATGGGCTGGAAGGTCCCTTCCAACCCAACCCTACTCATCCCAATCCATTCTGGGATCCCACGATTCCAAGAAATGCCAGTCCCGGCTCTCAGCTGCTGGAGAGAGTCATCAGCCAGTGAGAAGTTAATTAAGCCCAGGGATCTGAGGCTCACTTAATTAAAGGTGAGCAGCGAGGACGTCGCTCCATTAGCGACGGAGTCGGAGCTGCATCTTCAGGGAGCTCCGGAGGAGGGGGGCACCCGCTCCCTTCCCTCCTGGAACGCCGGGATTTCAGTCCCAAATTTGATGGGAATGCTCTGGTTTATCCCAGGCTGGGGAAGCCAGGCAAGAAAGCCATTTTTTGGTTCCAGTGAGGAACAGAGCAGCCCCAGAGGGGGATGAGAGACCCCCAAATTCCCTCATCCCAAAACAACTCCCCACAGCCCAGAACACCCGACAGGTGATGGAATTCCAGCTTTCCTCTCCAATTAACAGCGTTACACTGGGCAGGGCCTAACTCAGGTCTACTTCCAAGGAAGCAGCAGCCCACATCCACTGCCAGAATTCCTGGCAGGGACTGACCACGAAGTGCTGCCATTCCCAGCTGCTGGGGGTCCCACTCCCAGCCCCAGCCCCTTCCCAAGGGCACAGGGTGGGGGTGATGATGCAGGCACAGCTGGAGCAGCAGGAAATGCTCCAAGACCTGGGATGGCAACTCCAGCTCCACATTCCAGGGCTCCTCAGGGACTCTGCAGTCCCTGAGGGATCCCAGGGTGGGGGGAACCTGCTCCATTCCCCTTGAGGGAGAAAGATTCCACCCGGAGCAAGAGAGGCTCCTGGGAATCCATGGAGTTGCAGGCTCCTGCTCCCGGAGCAGGGAAGGGGCCATGGCTCATCAGCGCTGTCACGCCACGCTTCACCCTCGGCTGAACCCGCCTGGGATGTGCCAGGTGGGAAATCCATCCTGGAGATCCATCCCAGAGGCCATGACAGGGAACAGGCAGCGCCTGGAACAGGCATCCCACTGATCCAGGGGTGCTCAGAGCAGGGGGAATGGCCCGGTCCCCGCGGGATGAGCCAGAGCTCCCAGCTCTCCATGCAAAGATTTCGGGGGTTTTCCCAGAATTCCGGGTGCCAACACCCAAGGGGCTCCCCAGCAGAGCCAAGGGGACCCAGAGCCCAGTGGCACCGTGGGATGGCAGGTGGGGAGAGCCCCCCCGTCCCTGCCAGCGCAATTAGGGAAGCTCATTATTTGTAAAGTAATTATCAGAGCTAATCAACTCCCAGCGCCAGGGCGGAATGAGCGGGAGGAGAGCGGGAGCTGCCAGCTGGAAATGCCAGCGCTGGGAGGGGGACCCGGGGACACTGCAGCCCCCAGGGTCCCCAGGGTGGGGCCTCGGGCCGGGGCAGAGCCCAGCGCTGGGGATCGATCCCAGCCGGAGCAGGAGAGGCCCAGGGAGCTCCTGCTCCCGGAGCAGGGAAGGGGCCATGGCTCATCAGCGCTGTCACGCCACGCTTCACCCTCGGCTGAACCCGCCTGGGAAGTGCCGGGTGGGGAATCCATCCGGGGATCCATCCCAGGGATCCATCCGAGGATCCATCCCAGGGATCCATCCCGAGTGTCCATCCCAGGGATCCATCCGGGGATCCATCCCGGGACCCATCCCGGGGATCCTTCCCGGGATCCATCCCGAGGATCCATCCGAGGATCCATCCCAGGGATCCATCCCGAGTGTCCATCCCAGGGATCCATCCGGGGATCCATCCCGAGGAGCCATGCCGGG